AATAACTTTTCGGAGGTTCTTTTCCTGGATGTCAGCAATACAACACCCTCTAATAGGCCGATTTCTTTTGAGAGTAATGTTTTGCACGGCAGAATGGCATAGACAATGCAACTCACTGCTTTTCAAAGAAAATCTTTTGTTTTCTCTTTCACTAAGAAAGTTCTAAAGACCAAGGAAAGAGTAGTAATGAATTACTTTTCCAGCTAAGCTGTATAATTTCTCACCATACAACTAGTGAAATCACAGTATGGTCAAATGATTTCCAGCGAGATGTTCGTCTATATTCATAACAAACTATCACAGCACTTATCTTTGTGCAACTTAAGCAATAGCAGAACAGCAAGCGAATACCGTTCATTCAAAATATCTCAGCAAGGTTGTAGGCAGGACAACCATAGTAAGCATCTAAAAGCAGGATAAAACTATCACTCTAATTGCGCTCTAAATTTGACTCATAACGAAATTTTGACGATTCTGTTCCTTAAAATACCTATAGGTTTAAAGCATCAGGGAAGCTTGGCTATAGCAAGTACTTACAAGTAAAATTATGGAAATTTCTGCAATCTTGAGCAGATAAGCCCACTAAAAACTAGGCACAGTAGAATCACGATGCACTTTTCAATCCCGTTTCTTTGGGGTGATCTTTCCGTTCGGCTGTCGAGTTTTTTCATTCTTTTCGATCGCTATATTTTATCAGTGAAATACTTGAACTAATGAAGGTTTTCATGGAGTGACTTTTCAGTCGTAACGGATTAACACAATATCTAAGAACCTAATCAAGCCCAAAATTGGTGGGATCCAAGGATAATATCGAAAAGTTAGGAAAATGGCATTCCATTGCCTCAGTTTTTCCTTATGATGATAAAGAAAGCCTTTTGCATTCCGAAATATTTATTTAGAAAAAAATAAATTGTTGGAATTTAACGTGAGCATGCTGATTACAAATATTATAACCAACAAAAAAGTATTTATTATATTTCAAAATTTTGCTGGTTTTTTGTGCATTAAATCTGT